GAAAAGTGAAAAGAAAGAGATAGCAGATACATATGGCCTTTCAGAGTCCAGAAGTGAATACAAATCTCAAAAAGGGAGTGGCTTATTAATAACCTGCATGTGTCCAGTGATTCTTAGTTTTCAAAGTATTGTACTTTCTTATCTGTTACCTCATTGCATCCTTCAAACAATATTTTGAAGGATCTTTCAGAGTCAAGAGCCAGCTAATTCCATCTGGTTACCTCTTAGCTCCGCAAGAGTCAGTCATGCATATGGATCAACCGTGCCCTTTGTTTCTCCATTTTCTTTCCATTGACGGTGAACATTAGCATTTTAGCCAAAGTGGAAGCCTAGAGATGAACTCAACTCAGTCACCTTAGTAGCAGTTGTTTAAAATAATCCTTTCACTAAAGAATTCAGATTATCTAATAAATTACTCATAGATATCCTTTATCCATACTTTCTCTGTCAGGAATTAATAAGTATAGTTACCCTATTAACCTTGTTACATATAGACTACCAAATTGGAACTGGAGTTGAAAATTTTCTTACTTAATAGAAAAATAGCTGGATACACTTTCATGAAACTGTTACACTTCTGGGCTGGGTATTCAGTAGGCTATTTTTTTTTTTTTTTTTTTTTTTTAAAACAGAGTTTTGGTCTATCACCCAGGCTGGTGTAGAGTGGCATGATCTCAGCTCACTGCAACCTCTGCCTCCTAGGTTCGAGCGATTCTCCTGCCTCAGCCTCCTGAGTAGCTGGGATTACAGGCGTGCACCACCATGCTGGGCTCATTTTTGTAGTTTTAGCAGAGATGGGGTTTCACCATGTTGGTCAGGCTGGTCTTGAAGTCCTGACCTCAGGTGATCCACCCACCTTGGCCTCCCGAAGTGCTGGGATTACTGGTGTGAGCGGCCGTGCCGGCCCCAGTAGGCCCTTTATAGTCATACCCCACACCCAGAGCTGCGCAAAGTGGAGCCACACTCACATCACACACCCTACAGCACATATGCTGGCCTCATGCTACCATCCTCTGGCTTTCAGGTTCTTCACACTTGAACAGCAAAATCCCCCCCAAATGTAAGAAACATAATTGCACTAAGATCATCGTTTTCTAAAGTGCCAGCACTCAGAGCTTCAGACATATCTATTGTGGTGAGAAATGACATCTTGACACATAATACACTTTGTGAGAGGAAACTTCACGTTCAGGCTTTGTGCCGTCTTCTCATCTATGGAATGGAGAGAGGGATACTATTCCCCTCATAGGGCTACTGGGTTACAGTGAACATAAATTAAGGTAATCCAGTATGCGCTTATAAAGTAAGCCCTCCATATGAAAATCATCTAATTTTTTAATACTTGTCTTTTGGCAATTATTTTAAGTACCCCGTAACACAATTTTATATGGATTCCAGGGAGCCCGTCAGTAAGTAAAACAGCTTTTAGATGAGTTAGTTCCTGAACTAGCAAGTGAAGGAGAAGTAACTGGGACCGATTTGAAAGGGGTTTACCAGCAAACATGACCCCGGGCCAGAGAGGGTAGTGCAGTTTCTCTTGGAAACACTCAGAGTGGCCTCCTACTATACACTGGATACTGCACTAGATGAAACTCTGCACCGCTACAGTACGCCAATTTACAAGTTACAATGCTAATAGCACACAATAGGATAAATGTGGTGGTTTCCCCGCGCCTCCCCAGTGCTTCTCAAAATAAACCTTCCCACTAGCAATTATCTTTAGCTTCATACTACAGACCTTGCAACTTAAAACTGCCAGAACACAAAATAAAAATACACTTGCCCCTTAATTAAAGTCTGTGTTTCTGCCACTAAGAGAATCATGACTTAACACAGATTAATATACCCAAGGAGACAAAGTACATATTTTTGTTTTGCTTTTCCTTCCATTCCTCTTCTTGCTCAGCACTCTTGGTTTAGAATCATCTGTGTTCTCTTCACCTTTCAAAAACGTCTTCCTTTATGACTTCTCAGCAACCCGTTCCTGGTGTTACCAAAGTGTTGACTTAGTTCTTCCTGGCAAGGTGATAATGAATCTCCAGAACTGAAAGCTTTATAAGGCCAGGAACTATGTTTTCCTCTTCCCTCTGGATCTCTACACAGCTTATACTGTGCTAAGCGCACCACTAAACACTTAAATACAGATGTGGATTACAACTACCTCAGCATGCATGAAGAGAGGTGTAAACTGTAATTGCAATGGGAAGACAAACTTTCATTTAGGAATATTTCACTTTGGCTCAACCAGGAAAACAAACACACATTCAAGAAGGTAAACAAGCGTTTAATCAGCCTGCCTTAATTTCTGGAACAAGTGGGTAATTATATGTAGTAGAGGCATTCCTCATTTTACTGTGCTTCCCAAAGATTGTGTTTCTTACAAAATTGAAGGTTTGTGGCAAGCCTGTGGCAAGCACGTGCACTGGCAAATGTTTTCAGCAGCATGTGCTCACTTTGTAGCTCTGTGCCACATTTTGGTAATTCTTGCAATATTTCAGATTTTTAAAATTATTATATCTGTTACTATGATCTGTGATCAGTGATCTCTGATGTTACTCTTGTCATTATTTTGGGGTGCCACAAACCGCGCCCATGTAAGATGGTAGATTTAATCAATAAATGTTGTGTGTGTTCTGACTGCTCTTCCAATCGGCGCTTTTCCTGTCTTGGGCCTCTCTGTAATCTGAGACACAACAGGATTGAAATTAGGCCAGTTAATAGCCTGACGAAGTCCTTTAAATATTCAAGTGAACGGAAAAGTCCCATGTTTCTCACTGTAAATGAAAAGCTAGAAAGCATTAACTTGGTGGGGAAGGCACGTCAAAAGCTGAGACAAGCTAAAAGGCCTCTTGCATGGAACAGTCAGCCAAGTTATGAATGCAAAGGAAAAGTTTTTGAAGGAAATTTAAAAGTGCTACTCCAGAGAACTCACAAATGGTGGGAAAGACAAACAGCCTTATTGCTGATATGGAGAAAGTTTTAGCGGTCTGGGTAGATGATCAAATCAGTCATAACTTTTCCTGAAGACCAAACCTAATCCAGAGCAAGGTTCTAACTCTCTTCTATTTTATGAAGGCTGAATGAAGTGAGGAGACTGCAGAAGAAGTTTGAAGCGACAAGAGGCTGGTTCAGGAGGTTTAAGGAACAATGCTTCCATAACACAAAAGTGCAAAGTGAATCAGCAAGTGCTGAAGTAGAAGCTATATCAAATCATCCAGAAGACTTAGCAAAGATCACTGATGAAGGTGGCTTTGCCAAACCACAGACTTTGAATGTAGACAAAACAGCCTTCTATTAAAAAACGGCGGCATCTAGGACTTTGATAGCTGGAGAAGTCAATACAAAAGGCTTTAAAGCCTTGCTTCAAAGCTTCAGAGAACAGAAAAACTGACTCTCTCATTAGGGGATAATGCAACTGGTGACTAAGTTGAAACCAGTTCTCATTTACCATTCTGAAAATTCTAGAGCCCTCATCAAGAATTGTGATGAATTCACTCTATTTGTGTCGTATATCTGGAACACCAAAGCCTGGTGAGAGCACATGTGTTGACAGCATGGTTTACTAGATATTTTAAGCCCACTATCGAGACCTACTGCTCAGGAAAAAAAGATTCCTTTCCTTTACTGCTCATGGACAACGCACCTGGTCATCTAAGAGCTCTGATGGGTATGTAAAAAGAGATTAATATTGATTTCATGCCTGCTAACACAACATCCATTCTGCAGTCCATGGATCAAGGAGTAATTTCAACTTTCAAGTTTATTATATAGGAAATACATTTTTGTAAGGCAGTTACTGCCTTAGTGATTCCTCTGATGAATCTAGGTAAAGTAAATTAAAAGCCTCTGGAAAAGACTCGTCCTTCTAGATGCCACTCAGAACATTCATGATTCGTGGGAGGAGAATAAAATATCAATATAAACAGGAGTTTGGAAGACACTGATTTCATCCCTCATGATCACTTTGAGGGGTTCAAGACTTCAATGGGGGAAGTAACTGCAGATGTGATGGAAACAGGAAAACAACTGGAATTACAAAGGGAGCCTGAAGATGTGATGGAATTGCTGCAGTCTCGTCGTCCAACGTGAACAGATGATGAATTGTTTCTTATGGATGAGCAAAGAAAGTGGTTTCGAGATGGAATGCTTTCCTGTTGAAGATGCGAACACTGTTGAAAGGACAACAAAGCACCTAGGATACTGAATACATGTAGTTGATAAAGCAGAGTTTGAGAGGGTTGACTCCAACTCTGAGAGAAGTTCCACTGCTGCAGCTGCTTTCTTAACCTTCAGCAGCCACCACTCTAATGAGTCCACAGCCATCAACACTGTGTCAAAACCCATCACAAGCAAAAAGACACTAACTCGCTGAAGGCTCATTTTCGGCAATAAAGTATTTTAAATAAGGTATGTATGTATATTTACTGGACTACAATATAGTATAAATATAACTTTTATATATACTGGGAAACCAAAAACTTCATGTAACTTGCTTTATGGTGATATCTGCTGTTTTACAGAGGTCTGGAGCCTAACCTGCACTATCTCTGAGGTGTGCCTGTAAAAACCAAGACACTTTCGTTGGGAGGCTGAGGCGGGTGGATCACGAGGTCAACAGATCGAGACCATCCTGGTCAACATGGTGAAACCCCGTCTCTACTAAAAATACAAAAAAATTAGCTGGGCATGATGGCACGTGCCTGTAATCCCAGCTACTCAGGAGGCTGAGGCAGGAGAATTGCCTGAACCCAGGAGGCGGAGGTTGTGGTGAGCCGAGATCGCGCCATTGCACTCCAGCCTGGGTAACAAGAGCGAAACTCTGTCTCAAAAAAAAAAAAAAGTGAATGAAAACAGACTTAATTTTAAAAAGCAGTTCTCTGTATGGATACATTTTTAAAAGAACGGCTAAGTTTCATTTTTATTGCCCTGTCATCAAAATCATCATTACATTCTACCTAGTTTTGAATATATACCCTACTAGCGTAACAAAATCACTCACTATGTGCTCACCTCGGCAACATATATACTAAAATCGGAACGATACAGAGAAGATTTCATCCTGCACAAGGATGAAATCACTCAGTACGTGAGGGTTTATAAAATACGTTGACACTTTGATTCAGATGCATTTACGTCCACACTGCTAGTTACCAAACAGAAAGCCCTCTACGATTAGCTTTGTTAGGAAGTACATGTAAGTTCAAAACGCTGAACTTTACCCTGCTCTGTGGCTTTCAGCTCATTTAAGTGACACTATAAAGGAAAAATAAAAACTTTCAAAAAAAGATAAAGTATCCACTCCCTTTAAACGTGTTAAAATAGCTTGATATAATTCATAGGCCATACAATTTATCCACTCAAAAGTATACAATTAACATTTTTCGTATTCACAGGATTGTAAAAGCATGACCACAATCTAATTTTAGAACATTTTCCTTCCCGGAAACGTACCCGTTAGCAGCCCCCCCATTTTCGCTCATTTCAGGAACCCTCCTAGCTCTGAAACAACCGCTAGTCTACTTGCTAACTCTACAGAGTTGCCTATTCTGGACACTTGATATAAAGAGAATCATATAATATGTGACTTCTTTCGTGACTGGCTTCTTTCACTTCTTGGTTTCAGGGGTCAACCATATTGTAATGTTTAAGGATTTATTTTTCTTTCATGCTTTTTTTGTTTTTTTTTTTTTTTTTTTTTGGAGATAGTCTCACTCTGCTGCCCAGGCAGGGGTGTAAAAGTGCAATTATGGCTCGGTGCAGCCTTGACCTCCTAGGCTCAAGTGATCCTCCCACCTCAGCCTCTTGAATAGCTGGATGACAAGAACATATACCCAGGCCGGGCTAATTTTTACGTTTTTTATCTAGAGACGGGGTTTCACTATGTTGCCCAGGCTCACTGGTCCTGAACTCCTGGGCTCAAGTGATCCTCTCCCTTGGCCTCCCAAAGTGCTGGTATTACAGGTATCGGTAACCATGCCTAGTCTTCTTTCAATTAAATAATGAAACATAGGGATTTAGAATTTATTAAATATTTCGTGCAAAACTATTTCAGATGTTCTGAATTATATTAGCTTGACTGAGGTGGTAAAGCACATTTCACCCATACTTCCTGGCTTTTTCACACAAGCATTCTAATGGCATAACTTCACTAGAGATTAGCTGGTACATATAAGATCTGACTAGAAAAATTACAATACAGACAAAAAATCGGAGAAAAGTAGGCTGGATGAGGTGGCTTACACCAGTAATCCCAGCACTCTGGGAGACCGAGGCAGGCATGATCACTTGAGGTCAGAAGTTTGAGACCAACCTGGCCAACATAGTGAAACCCCATCTCTACTAATAATACACACACACACACACACACACACAACTAGCTGGGTATGGTGGTGCATACCTGTAATCCCAGCTATTCAGGAGGCTAAGGCACGAGAATCACTTGAACCCAAGAGATGGAGGCTGCAGTGAGCCAAGATTGTGCCACTGCATTCCAGCCTGGGTAAGAGTATCTCAAAAAAAGAAGAAAAAAATATGGGGAAAAGAATAAACATTCCTTAAAAAAATTAGGAATCTCTTAAAATGAGCAGAATGTGGCTAATAATGATAATATTATATTTTTAGCAATTCCAACTTTGTTCTGTTGCTATAAAATATACATAAAATTTATCATTTTAAACTTTTTAAAAAATTTAATAGACAGGGTCTCACTATGTTGTCCAGGCTGGAATGAAACCCCTGAACTTGAGAGAACTAAGCACCTCAACTTCCCAAGTAGCTGGGACTACAGGTGCATGTCACTGAGACTGGCTGATTTTTGTGTGTGTGTGTGTGAGAGGGAGGATTGCTCTGTCACTCAGGCTAGAGTGTAGTGGCTCCATCTTGGCTCACTGCAACCTCTGCCTCTGGGTTCAAGCGATTCTCCTGCCTCAGCCTCTCGAGTAGCTGGGCTTACAGGCACCCACCTCCACGCCCAGCTAATTTTTGTATTTTAATGGAGCTGGGGTTTCACCATGTTGGTCAGGCTGGTCTGAAACTCACGACCTCAAGTGACCTACCCACCTTAGCCTCCCAAAGTGCTGGGATTACAGGTGTGAGCCAACATACCAGAACAAGCCTAATTGATTTTTAACGATTTTAAGGTATGCAATTTCATGACATTAAGTCCAGTGCTGCACAATCACCATCTACCATCCACCTCCAGAACAAAACTCTGTACCCATTAAACAACTCTCCTTTCCCTGCTCCCCAGGCCTTTCATAACCACAATTTGACTTTCTGTCTATGAATTTAACTACTACAAGTGAAATCACATAATATTTGTTCTTTTGTATCTGGCTTGTTTCACTTAGCATAATGCTTTCATCCTTGCTATAGCGATATTATGTTTTTTATGTCTTTTTCTAGACAGTTGATAGCTCTACTCTCAATGGCAAAGCACATTGTGTAGATTTGTATTTGCACTTACCTCCCTATCCTGCAATGAAACCACACACCCTCATATCCCACGGGTATATCTTGTTTATGTTCATTTCCCTATTCCCTTGCTTCATTCCTGGCCCCAGATACTTATTATAGTTGAATGTATAAACGACTGAACAGATAAATGTCCCAGTTAATCAATACCGTTATTTTGGCATAAGTCCTACAAAAACTTCTAGGCAATGTTCAAAAAACCAGTGCCAGCGTTCTAGGAAATCCTATTTCTGGAGTCACCTCCAACACTTACCAAGTCATATAAGACAGAATAGGACCAGGAACATATTTCATCCATTACTTCATTAATGGCACTGTAACAGCTACTAAGCGAATTACCAGTACCTACATTTACTCTAGCAATTTAATAATAAATTTTCATTAATAGCATCAGAAAGTGACTGAGGGAGCGCAAGAAGGGAAAATTTCCAATTCTTATGACCCAAATTACAAGGACTGGATGTTGCAAACAGATTCTAATTTACAATTGATCTATAACTTAATTATAATGGAAAATTCTCTTCGAAACTGCAAAGAGTTAATATGTTCAGTATCTGTGCTAAAACAGGTCGAGACAAAACATCTGCTCTAATTAGCGTTCAAAGAAATGTACAAGGACTTCATGTCCCCATACCATGACCACCTCTTCTCACTGTCAGAGCCAGTCATCAGGCTTCACATTATAAAGACGAAAATATACATCTTGATACTGATGATAAAATGGTAAGAATCATAATTACACACACAAACACATTTATTTTCAACTAATATCTGTGTTTATTTTATTTTTTTATTTTTGAGACAGAGTCTTGCTTTGTCACCCAGGCAGGAGCGCAACATAGTGAAACCCCATCTCTATTAAAAATGCAAAAAGAATTAGGTGGGCGTGGTGGTGCATGCCTGTAGTCCCAGCTACTCGGGAGGCTGGGGTGGGAGAAATGCTTCAACCTGGGAGGCGGAGGTTGCAGTGAGCTGAGACCGCACCGCTGCAGTTCAGCCTGGTGACAGAGTGAGACTGTCTCAAAACAAATACAAAAAAAACCAAACCAGTGGTCCCCTCAGTCTCTTTTCCCTGCTTAATTCCATATAAGTTCTGAAGTGGAGAAAACGTGAACAGAAATTCAGCCGTTATATAACGGGGGCATAACATGAGCGAGAAATAAATTTTTGTTGTTATAAGACACTGAGATTTTGGAGGCGATTTTACTACACAGTATAACTTAGTTTATCCTTACTGACTGTGATTGTTAATTCTATGTGTCGACAGGCTACTGAATGCACAGACTGCTGATAAAATATTATTTCTGGGTGTCTGTGAGGGTATTTCCAGAACAGATTAGCATTTCAATCAGCAGAGTAAAAGAAGATCCATCCCCATCAACGGGTGGGCAGCATCCAATCCTTCCAGGGTTCAAATTAAACACAACGGCAGAGCAAGGGTGAATTCTCCCTCACTTCTCTCTCTCTCTCTCTCTCACACACACACACACACACACACACACACACACACATACACAACCCAGTATGTTTCTTTGGAGAACTCTGACTAATCCACTGATGGAGTCTCATGTTACGGATAAAAAACACCAAAGTTTCGAGACGTTTAAAACGGTATGTCTCGCCAGATGCAGTGGCTCACACCTGTAATCCCGACACTTTGGGAGGCCAGCGTGGGGGGACAGCTTGAACCCAGGAGTTCAAGTCAAGCCTGGGCAACTAGTGGGACCCCACTTTTTTTTTACAAAAATGTAAAAAAAAAAAAAAAATTAGCTGGGCCTGGCAGTGTGTACCTGGAGTTCCAGCTATATGGGATGCTGAGGTAGAAGGATCACGTGAGCTTAGGAAGTCAAGGCTGCAGTGAGTTGTGACTGTGCCACTACACTCCAGCTTGGGTGACAGAGTAATGCCTGTCCCCAAAAAATAAAATCAATGATGTGACTACAGTCCAGTGCAGTAAGTGGAAGAACTGGATTTAGAACCCACGTTTGTCATAGCACCGTGTCCTTTTCCTTAACCAATTGGCAATAAATCTTAGAATGGAAGTGTCTATCAACTGTGAAGGTAAAACAGGGGAGGAAGAAGTTAACTGTTATATGAGCAGCAGAAGGCTTTATCCCAAGTAGAGTTCATTTTGAATGATAGAAATGCTTCCTAGCCAGGCACGGTGGCTCATGCCTACAATCCCAGCACTCTGGGAGGCTGAGGTGGGTGGATCGCTTGAAGTCAGGAATTCAAGACCGGCCTGGCCAACATGGTAAAACCCCATCTCTACTAAAAATACAAAAATTAGCTTGGGCATGGGGGTGCATGCCTGTAGTCCCAGCTACTCAGGAGGCTGAGGCAGGAGAATCACACGAACCCAGAAGGCAGAGGTTGCAGTGAGCTGAAATCGTGCCACTGCACTCCAGCCCGTGTGACAGAGTGAATGAGACTCTGTCTTCACAAAAAGAAAAAAAATAAAAAGTTCCCAGACAAACTGCAGAAGATAACACGTATTTAGTAAATAAAAATGGTGGTCACAGTTAGATACACAGGCCACTGCACACAGGTAACCAAAACTTAAGATCTTGATTTCCTCAAAATAATAACACAAAACACAAAACAAAAACATAAACTTTTTGTCCTTTTGAGAC